GGGGGCAAGTTCCTATTGCCCCTGAAATAACAATGACGCAGTTATTCCAGGATCCATTGGGGTAGTTCAGTATGATTATGGTAGCATAGTGACGAGGGAGGGGGGGTGCTGGGCATGGCCCTTCCACCCCATACCCGTACGGGGTGACTAAGGGATCTCCCCCAGTTGGAGCTCAAAACAGAAAGGAAAATCGTACTTTTCATTTCTTTCGTGAAGCAGCATTTTGTTTTCATTTTTCCATGTGCTATATTTTCCATGTGCCTTTGTTGAAATTTTGCCATTCTTGGGGGGGCGTTGCCCCCTCAATAATATAGTTGGGGGGGCACGTACCCCTTTGCCCCCCTGGGTTCGGCGCCTATGGTACGAGGGTGTTCGACGAGCGAAGAGATTTTCGCGAACGCTCTCGTACTCCTCGCTTGGATGAGAGCGGAAATCCATGAAGGACGAAGCAGACGCGTTTTCGGAAGGAACCCATGGGGGACTTCTTGCTACTAGCCATCACGGCGAGCCGGCCCATCGCGACGAACGGGCCGGTGTCTTTCGTCGACGAAGAGCCGTCGATGGCAAGACGAACTGGAGCCTCGATTCGTTAGGAAAAAACGAACGTTCTCGTTTTCTCGTTTCGTTCGTACGGCCGGAGCGAGGCGGTGATTTTTCGTGCTCCCGTTCGATTCGATCTCTTGCGAACGGAAGGGACCTCGATGCAGAATCGTTGGAATCGCGCGGACGGATGTACTTTCGAGACTCTTTCCATCATCTCGCTCTCTGTCGTGGATTTTATCAGGACGAGACGGAAGAGAATCGGTCAGCTGGCCTCTGCCAGGGTCTGAGAGTCCGAGGCGAACCGAACGAGGAAGCGGATGGCTACGGTGCTCGCTCGTCCCAAGATCAACGAACGTGAGTCCCCGGCGACGGCGATCGTCGAAAGGGCGAACGCCTTTCCTCGAACCGTTAAACCTTTGCTCGCGCTCGACGAGTCGTTCGCACGATAAGACGTAAAACGACGTCCGAGTTTCGAGGACGGATCGGTTCGCCGAGACGTGCAAACGTTTTCCCCAACTTTTACATCGCGAATGAAAATCGGATGACTGTGATTTGCAAGCACGAGGTGAGATGTCCCGATTCGAGGTGAACCGAGTGAACAGCCTGAAGGCCACGGTGCTCGGACTCTCGGCGACCGACGACCGCACCAACGAATGTGAGTCCCAACTCCCATTTTTCTAAGCACCGACGCACGGAATATTCAGGGCATCGATTCCATGAACTCGGAAATGAAAAAATCTGTCCTCCGTGTGATGCGTTTTTATCGCATCGAACATTTTGCGTGATAAAAACTCATCACATGGAAGACAGATTTTTTCACGACCAAATGCATCGATTTGATTCCGCGTGTTTAGGTCGGGTGCACTTCTGCCCCATCGAACATTTCTGGATGTATGTCCCGCATGTCATGCATTTCGGCTTCGTTCTCCATACCATATCCATTCTCCGCTGCCGGGGGAGAATTCGATCCGAAGACGATTAAATTTCACTCGTCAGAACGGATCTGTAGGTGGCCAACAGAGTTTAAATACAAATACTTCCCTCGACTGTCATCTCCGAAATCCCCCAGTTACGGTGGCTCGATGGGGAAAACGATGCGTGTACTGTAATCCGCGATCCGCGAGCGAAGCCCTCAAAGGTTTCCTTCGTTTTTCTCGCATTTCGAAATACGATGGGACGCGCTCTTTCGCGAAGCGCCGATCAATCGGCGGGAGGCGCGATAGCCGAAACTTCGAGAGTCGGGCGACCGTCGGCAGAAGCATCGAAAGGATTCCGTCGAGATCGGAACGGCCGCGCCGATGCGAAATCGACCGTTCCGGAACTCCCGAGTGCCGACGGATGCGGAATTTAAAACGACGAAAAGGAGCCTCGAACCCGAAGGTTCATCGTCGAACGAAAGGAAATTTAGCGAAACTCGAGAGAGGGAGCGCGATGCTTTGGCATCCCTCGTGACCGTCGGGGACCCTGCCGGGAGAGATGCCGAACGACCGGCTGCCTGAAGACGACGGGATTCGAAACGGGATGCCGTAAAGGATCCTGCAGTGCCGGAGCGCGCCACGATCCGGTAGAGAGATTCCATTCGGACCGATTCCGTCTCAGATGCACTCCCCGGTGACCGCTCTGCGACCCTCGTGGATGTCGTGACGGAGGTGGGACGAGAGGTGACCGAGTCGAGCGCACGAGTTCTCACGGTGATGCCCCACCGATCGAGTCGCCGGACGAACGAGACTCCCCCGATCGATGGTGTCGAAATCCGTGCGGAACTTACCGAAACCGTTCCGATACGGGACGAAGCGCGTCCGGGAACCGGAATCCGGTGACGCGAAAGCGCGACTGGATTTCTCACTCCGGTTTCTGGCGCGAATGCAACTCTCGGACGCCTGGCTCCACGATATCTCTCGGACCTCCGTTCGTCGTCGTGCGGCCGCGTCGGATGCCGGACGAACGACCGAAGCCGTCCGTCGTTGCACGTCCCGAAAGCGAGCGATCGTCGACGCGAAGGGAGGTCGATTCGAGCCGATGTAGCAAATGCAGCCATCGAGCAGACGTCGGTAGCCGTGTTCGGCGACGCGACGCGACTCTTACTCGCGGTCCCATCGGTGTTCGTGCATTCGGCCTCGTGACGGTGAAAACGGAGTGGCGAAGACGATGCGACGGGTACTCGAATGCGAAAGACGACGACGTCCGCCCCTCCGACTCGTTCGACCCCTTCGCTCGGACGAGGACCGAAAAGGTCCGAGCGACGATCGTCCGGAGGAATTTCTCCTCGAGTCGGAGGAAGGTAGGAGGCGATGCCTCCGGCATATTTTGAAACCTTGCTCGTGTTCGAACACTGGGACCGTAACAGCCAATCAAATGCTCGCCAAATGTCATTCTAGGAAAATGGCGACTTCCATGTTAATACAGGTTCCAGCTCTACCTGAAAAGCAGGGAGTTAATGTTTTTCAGTAGCTCTTGGTTGGACTTGGGTTTTCCCGCCGTACATCACCAGAGCAAGGCAGACCGATCTTATCGTGTTGCCAAGATGAGTTTTCCGAATAGGCCCAACGTTTGGCGTAGGTTTGCATGAATTTTGCAATCAAAAGCAATGCTAATAATTTCGGAATCGGCAAAATTGTTTACGAACTCAAGTTTCAGATCTACAGTCTTGGATCCTTTCACATTTACAGCATAGCCTATTTAATAACCTAAACTTTCCGAGGTTTCCTTTCGCAGAATGATGGAAGGAAACTGTAGGGACAATGATCTTTCGTTTTCACTGTCGAATCAGACTGGGCACCGACTTTGAAGGAGGTGACCTCGGCGTGCATCGAGGATATTTCCATCACCGAGGAGACGATCGTGAGTACGATAGGGAAATTAAAGGTGGGCAAGGCGACCGGCCCCGATGGGATTCCTAAGAGAGTCATCAAGGAAACCGCGAGAGAAATATCGGTTCCGTATATCGAAATGGGTGAAATCGCCTCTTGATATCACTAACTATCTTGAATCTTGATGATATAAAATTCATTGGGGAATAGAACTGGATGCATCAAATAAACCCCACCAAGTGAATTTGATTAATTAACCAAGAATGATTAGAAATAGGCAGGAAAAAATCCCAATGCTGAACACTATGTCTGAGGAAGAACATGCCTTTTGTGACCAAGAAACATGATGTGGCGCTTCAGTTTGCATATATATTTTAAAACAGTGTGGGAAGACATCCAATGCAAAGAATGCCTGGATGCATGCATAAAGTTATCTATTCATGTCCTGCACCATATGACTCACATAAGACACATTTTTAGCCAAGCAAGCCCCACAGGATCATTTCTTCTTTTAACTTCAATCAACAATTTCATGAGTTGTTTTCCTTTTCCCAATCCTCCTTTGGACAAATGAGAGATATTCCTTGAATTTCATTTCCATATTTGCCCTGGTTACAGAAAATTAAAAAAAAATTATCAAGACAATCCATTTCATACACGAGTTGTTCACTAAAGCGCAGCTAAATAGCTGGATTTACCCTTTCAAAAGGCTTCACAATCAACTCAAGTATCTGCCATCTAATTAAATTTTAGGATAGTTTGATTTGATTTAGGGTTAGGGTTAAGGGGAGAAGTTGATGGCACTTGGAATTGGAACCTTTAGAAGAAAATATGAAGAGCATGGATATGATAAAAGTGCTAACCCTGGGACATTTGCAAGGAAGCATCTTTATTCATGCAGCACTTATTGGACAAAAAAAAGGATACATTAAGGCAAGCAACTCCAAAACATAGTTTTGCCAGAACATGGTGATCAATGAATGCTAAAAGAACCAGACTGAGCTGGTGAGTGCCATTCAATGACCTGAGAGCAACCCATTTCCCATGCATTCTGGTACATCCTCCTGACGATGTCTACTATGCACTTTTTGTCACCGGTAGATTAGGTGATTTAAAATATTTTCCCTCTGAAAATGTATTTCAGTCCTTCAAGCCATATGGGGTGAATGCATAAATCAGATGTCCCTTAATGCCATGTTACTAAATGTACATTGTCATTGAAAACGTAGTAGCTAAACCAGTACCAAGACTCACCTTCCTCACTTACATTACCTTCAACCTCCTGATGCTTCATTAAAAAATATGACTATTGGTCACTAAGCCAATTGAAATCTAGGCCTAACTTCGCATTTCTTCATATGCCATCGCGTAACCAATATTTTCCTATGTTGCTTAGGCCTAGTGTCATGGTGATGGCAGTTAGAAGGTTGGCCTGCGTTGAGCTGTCCAAGTTAAGTGACTAACAGTCTTGGTCGAGCGTTCGTAGCGTGAGGACGTGTTGGAGGA